AATAATAATAATAATAATAATAATGATAATCTTAAGTGAATGAATTAATGAATGCCAAAGTATTTTCTAGGACCAGAAATCTAAGTTGTTCATTTAGGGCTCCTCCTAGCTCAAATTATTGAGCGCACTACTTAGGCGCCCCTGAGTTCCTTCTGTTGTCTATTCATTGGTGAGAAGAGGGTGGATTCATATACTTAGTTTAGCCTTCAATTGACTGCATGGAGACTGAAATATGGAGTTAGGTAAAATCACCTGGTGATTTCCTAGACAGTGCCTGTTGGTGATGCTGACGGCCACAGACTCTATAGTTAGTGGTGGAAAGTGGTTACTTCAACATAGTGCCCAGGAGGACCAACTCGTTCTCCTGCTCAGTGAGACCTAATAGGCAATTGCCATGTTGTCTCAGGAGGGGAGGAATGTCCCCGGCCTTCCTCCGGAAGTGCGTGGAAGACACCCAGAAAGCTGGGTGCTGTCCGTGGTCCCACGTGAACTGTGACAGGTTGTCAACTGCTCGCACAGAGAACTCAAAAGCGGCTCTGAGGAAAATGCACAAAGTTCATCTAAAGAGGTGATCTCATGCTGGTGACCCAAGTTGCTACAAAACAGAAATGCTTAGGGTAGCAGATAACTTCAGAGAAGGAAGCCAGAAGGCTGGATTTTACCTGGAGTTGGAATATCACATTTATTGTCTCTCTAACTCTTAGCTTTCTCTTCCCCCAAACCCTACTTTGGGTATTGACCATAAGAATTGCCTGAAAAAATAAGAGAAAGAGACTAGGTTAGTGGGGGAGCCTGAGGGGTGGGGCAGCAGTCAGTGTGAATCTGGAGGTCACACCCAAGCTTGTAAGCTAAGGAAATTTGCTGCTCATGTCAGCCATATATGTAGGCGGGATCAAATTAATTACACCCTGGCTTCTTAGTTGATTATTAAACAAATCAGCTTCTGTCAAACAACACAGATCGGCAAGAGCTCATTAATGGTTTGCTGTTGGCCATTATTTTGTCACTTCCACCTACAATGGGCTTGAGATACGGATTTTTCTCCAGTGTTTACTCCTTCAGTTATTTCTCCGGCCATTCACTCAGCCCTGAGAATATACGCCAGAGGTCAACACTGTAACCCCGCCTTCCAAATGCCAATTAGAGTCTAGCATTCAAGGGGTGACACTCTGAAAATACTGGGTTAGAGACTAAATGTTACTTAATGTTATTTCCAGTTCTTTAAGGGTGCTTCCAGTTTATTTTCCTCAAATTGAACATTCTAAAGGCATTGGTATAGAATCTCTGAGCTATCTTTGGTCCTGTTGAGATTTTCTATCATGTATTCCTGAATTATTCTTACAGGCTCCATTTTTATTTTTATTTTTATTTTTATTTTTATTTTTATTTTATTTTATTTTATTTTTTGCAGAACCAGGGATTGAACTCAGGCCCTT